GGGGTGAGATCACAAGGACGCTGTCCCGAGAGTCCCCCTGTGCCGAGGGGTGAGGCTCCCCAGGCCTCCGGAACCAGCAACTCCACGTGAGTGTGTGCAAGAGGACTGCAGCCAGGGGGCGTGCGGGAGGTCAAGGTCCCTGGTCCCGTGAGAACAGCCCAGCCCCCTGCCGAGCGAGGGAACCGGGGAACGCCCCCCCCGCAGTGCCCCGCCACCTGGCCAGCGCACCTGCACTTTTATGGGGGCCATCTGCACCGTCTTGATCAGCACCTCCTGGGTCTCGTGGCGCACAATGAGCGTGCGGGGGCAGGACACCCGGTCGTTGACGTCACAGTGGTAGTTGTCGATGTAGACGCCGAAGCCGTCTACCGTGGGGCTGATCTCCTCCACCAGCACGTATGTGCAGTTGCCCTGGTAGCTGTAGTAAAGCCCGTCGAAGGTGACATAGTGCGGGTCCCCCCAGCCTGTGCAGTAGCCTGTGGACAGAGCTCCCGTGAGCCACACCAAGCCCCAGACTGGGGGAGCGGCTGGGACAGGGACAGGAGTGGGCGGGAGCCCAGGAACAGTGAGAAGACAAAGCAGGAATCCAGGGGGTCCCGGAAATTCTGGTTCCTGGAGCACGAGGGGCGCCCAAGCCCGTTCGGTGGGACAGAGCCTGGCTTGGGAGCCAGAGGGTCCGGGTTCGAAGTCCAGCCCTGCCCCGCCCAGCCCGGGGGGCGGGGGTGGTGGCGGGGAGCAGCCTCGGTGGTGGAGGTGGCTCCAGCAGGCACACCCCTCCCCTGCCTGGACCCCCCCCCCCCCCCCCCCCCCCCCGCCCCAGAGTGGGAACCAGCAGGAGGCACGAGAGGCCCCTGAGGGCCTGCAGCCCCACACGCGCAGAAGGGGGAAGGAGGGGAGGGTCCCGCGGCCTGGGCCAACTCACAGTCGCACTCCCAGTGCCAGCAGCAGCCATCAGGGTCCATGACGCGCACAGGCAGGAGGTCGTTGGAGCAGGTGGGCATGGGTGGGGGTTTGCACTTCACCTGCACTAACTCCACTATGTTGTCGTATTTGCAGATGGCCATGGTGCAGTTACACAGCCACCACGTCTCGTTCTCCTACAGCGGGGAAGGCGCACGGTCAGCGGGGACCAGCCTGGAGCCCCAGCCTGTACAGGGGTGGCCCTGAGCCCTCCCCTGGAGCCTGGGGACCGCCCCGTGCAGGAGGCAGCCGCCTCAGCCTCACCACCGGCCAAGAGCCTCCTCCTCCTCGCCCGGCAGGGGAGGCGTGGCCCAGAAGGTGAGCGCTCGGCCGACCTGCCCCCAAAAGGCCGCTCGGAGGACAGGGCGTCGCGGGTGACCGGCAGACGTCCCTGTCCTCCCAGGTGGGCATGTGTGCGCAGAGCCAAGGGGACCAGGACCACAAGCGGCCCACAGCCCACTGACCTCTCTGGGAGGATCAAAGTCTAAGCACCCAGGGGGCTTGGTGGTGGCCAGAGTGCTCGATGCCATGGACGTGGGTGGTTTGGGTGTTGAGGCCGGCGTTGGCGAGGAAGGGGTGGGCGTTGGGGAGGGTGTGGACGGACACGACCAGTTGAAGAACTCAAAGGTGCAGGACAGCGAGCAGTTCACGTAATAGCAGGTGTCCCCATGCGTGCCGTTATACACCGTTTCACCT